GGAAATAAAGATTTTTATCTCGGGATTTGCCCTAGTTTTCCCTATCTGTCTCTTCTGCCGCCTGTGGCTTACTATATATTCTTCTTTTATTTTTCCTAGGCTTTTTACCTTAGTTTTTACGCAAGAGAGACTTGAGAGCTTTGATTTGAGCAATTGCTACTTGTAAGGGAGACGGCTTCATCTATCTCCTTGAGAAGATCATCCTGAACCCTCTTATTTCATATTTATTTTACANTGGCTTACTATATATTCTTCTTTTATTTTTCCTAGGCTTTTTACCTTAGTTTTTACGCAAGAGAGACTTGAGAGCTTTGATTTGAGCAATTGCTACTTGTAAGGGAGACGGCTTCATCTATCTCCTTGAGAAGATCATCCTGAACCCTCTTATTTCATATTTATTTTACATGCAGTATTATTCAGAAATCATGCTCTGTCCTTGTGTTATGTCTGAGTAGTCACCAAGTTAGGGTTCTAGGGATAGGTTTCGTTGGCTGATAGATAAGTTAACCTAAGATTGTCTACATTCATATTCTTACCTTAATGCTTGCATCAATTTGATCACTTGTTGCATGAACCAAGATTAATTGATTTAGCTAACCGTTGATTGATAATCTGATACGAATTGAATGAGCTTAACATCCCTAGTCAGCAAAAGTAGATACTAGGGTGTTCTGTGAACTTATCGGACTTGATCTCTAAAGCTTGCTGTCTAGTCTTGTTCCAAACGACAGTTTAGGTATCAAGGCAGTTCTGCAAAGGTATTCAACACCACGACAGTGGGTTGATTCAAACAGAGTGATCCGAGTTTAAACTTGTGCATATTGAACTTGAATAGTAGCTCGGCTTGCGAACTCCAATCCCGTTAGGAAACCCTAGACTAGCGCCTTTAACCTCTTGAAAACAACCTTTGTTTGTTACTTGCCTTTTAGGTTATTTCTTTTACTTTAAAAACCCCTTTTTGTTTTAGCTATATTTTGATCCCATAAAGATAAAGTAGGCTGGTCCTCTGGAATTGAATCTAAATATATTACAATTACATTGTTAACTTGACAGTAGACAAAGATCCAATTTTAGTGTATCAACTCCCAATCTCCTCTGTGGGCCCATTTTTGTCCTTTGTGGCGGAGCTATCGGTACATAGACCGCACACCCAAAGACACGGAGATGGGATACATCTGGCTCATGCCCAGACGCTAATTGTAATGGGGAGTACTTATGATATGCACTCGGTCTTAACCGAATTAGTGCATCCGCATGCAAAATAGCATGACCCCATACTGAAATTGGGAGCTTTGTCCTCAAGATCAACGGTCTTGCAATCAACTGTAACCTTTTAATTAATGACTCGGCCATGCCATTCTGTGTATGAACATGGGGCACTGGATGTTCTACATCAATCCCCACTGACATACATTAATCATTAAAGGCTTGCGATGTAAATTCACCAGCATTATCAAGCCTTACTTTCTTAATGGCATATCCTGAGAACTGTGTTCTCAGCCTTATTATTTGGGCAATGAACTTTGCGAAAGCCGTATTTCGTGTCGTCAAAAGAGACACATTTGACCATCTACTAGATGCGTCAATCAATACCATGAAATACTTAAACGGCCCGCACGGTGGGTGGATTGGCCCACATATATCACCATGTATTCTTTCTAAAAACATTCGTGATTCATTGCCTATTTTTGCTGGTGATGGCCGAGTTATAAGTTTTCCTTGAGAACATGCTTTACATGTAAATTCGCCCGTCTGCAAAATTCTTCCATTTTTCAACGGATGGCCATTTGAATTTTGCACTATTTTTCTCATCATGACTGAACCAGGATGTCCTAGCCTCTCATGCCAGATTTTAAATGTATCAGTAAACTTCATGTTTACCACGACATAGGACTCAGTCATGTGTATTCTTGTACAATATAGTCCAGAGGATAACATTTTTAACTCTTCTAATATATGTTTCCCCTCGAACTTAATGCAAAGAAATTCAATGCCATCTTTACACATAGTCTCAATATGGTATCCATTTCTTCGGATATCCTTGAAACTTAACAAGTTTCTATTAGACTCGGGGGAGTATAATGCATTACTTATTTCAAATATCGTCCCCCTTGACATTGAAAATTTCACTCTTCTAGAGCCCATTATAATCTTTGCATTACCAGATATTGTACTTACGCTTCCAGCGTAATCTTTTATTTTGAGACTGGAGAAATATTTCTTATCTTTGATTATCGTGTGCGTCGTAGCACTATCTGCCAAACACATATCTCCATCCATAGTCTCAAAATTTGGCATTCTTTCTGAAAACATGTATTATTAAACTTATATCACATAACATAAAACATGCATTATTAAACAAGAAACATAACATATATCTTACAATAAAAGATATAGCTACTATAATACAGTAAACTTATATCACATCGATTTTATATTACTCATCGATACTCTCTGGCTCAACCAGAAAATCTGATACGTCGAGATGAGTATCATCATTTAAACCATGAAAGGATGGCCCGGGTTCATCAGAGATGAAGTTTGTTTCACCTCCTTTCTCTTTTCTCTTTTGAGATTCTTTATACAGATCGGCTAAATGTTTTGGCGTACGGCAAACATGTTGCCAATGCCCTTTCATACTGCATCTGTAGCAAACTCCTGTTTGCTTTTTATCATCCCGGCCCCTTTCACCTTTCTCATTTTCGTGGAAATCTTTATTATTTCTTTTATCATATGGACGGAATCTTCTTCCTCGTCCTCTTCCACGACCATGATTTCGACCACGTCCACGACCTCGTCCTCTCCAATTATCATAACTGGATGATGCATCATTCGCTTCAGGGAATGGAGCAGATCCAGTGGGACGAGCCTGATGGTTTAAAGTCACGAGTTGATTATTCTGCTCTGCTACAAGGAGGACTTGCATCAACTCCGAGTAACGGTATATCCATTCGCCCGGTATTGTTGCTGCAGGACTATATTTCTAGGATGGAACGTGAAGAGAGTTTTCTCGATCATATCATAATCACTTATTTTCTCCCCACATAACATCATCCTAGATGTAATTCCGAACATAGCGGAATTAAACTCACTAACACTTTTATAGTCCTGGAACCGGAGATGGATCCACTCGTGTTTAGCTTTTGGTAAGATCACATATTTCTGGTGATCGAACCTCTCTTTTAGAGATTGCCAGAGATCCAAAGGATCCTCTTTCGTAATATATTCATCTTTTAAACCATCATGTATGTGGTGTCGTAAAAATATCATGGCTTTAGCCTTTTTCTCATCCGACACTGTTTTTGTATTATCGATGGTTTCCAATAGCCCGTTTCCTCTCAGGTGCATCTTTGCACCTACTGCCCAGGTCATATAATTATTTTCCATAATATCCAGGGCATTTATTTCGAGCTTTGTCAGATTCGACATGATAACGGTATAGTATATAAAATATATTATAAGACAGAATTTTAAATCCAGAAATTAAAAGCATAAACTTAAAGGCATAAAATAAATGCAGAAATTAAAAGCATAAACTTAAAGGCATAAATTTAAAGGCATAAAATAAATTGCATAAATTTAAAGAACATAAATAAAATTGGAAGCTTAGCCTTCCACATGATCCGAGGAGACTTAGTCTACCATGTTGATCACTTTTATCAAGGTTTGAGGAGACATAGTCTGCCATGTTAACCATTTCTTTTTATTCAAGGTCCGAGGATACTTAGTCTACCATTTTTGACCTTTTACTTTTATTAAAGATCCGAGGTGACATAGTCATCTATTTTGATCTTTTTATTCACGGAGGCAAAGCCTATCACGTGTTTCTCTGATCGTGACGGCATAGCCATCTTATCGATCAGTCGGGGAAGGCAACGCCTATCATCCCGAAAATAAACGGAGAAGGCCTAGCCTCTTACTCCGAAACAATAATAAAATTAAGATAATTAAAATTATTGAAAGACATAAATTAAACCTTACCTCACCAGTATAACCTTATTTGATATAGGATTAGAGCTTCGTGCTGATAACGTGTTGTAAATTAATAAGCAAAAAGAGAAAACTTAGATTATTTTGTGTTTTTGTAATGCAACGAGAGAGAGATGTAAACTTATATTTTTGTTCTCTCCATACATCTTATTACAAGTGAGGGGAGATTCCTATTTATAGTAATGGGAAATACATAAATTATACAAACGTCGGTTTAATTAAGTCGGTAAAAGATCAAGTGGATGATCATTGACTTTTCTAACTATTATCTTATAACAAAACTAATATTGTCGTTTGATTTTTTTTTTTTTTACAGTTTTATCAGATCCAAATTTTTACACCAACAACTAGTACAATCATTTTCTTGCACGTGTGGGGAAGTTCTGAAATTTGGGTCATCGAGATTTTGGATAGGCTTTTGTGAATTCAAAAAGGTAAATTATGTGGGTTTTTTTTTTGGGAAAATCATATTTTAAAATCTAAAGTTGACACATTTTACCAGTTTAAACACCCAACTTTTTATACTAGCACTTTAATACCTAAAACTAGAAAAATTGGCGAAACAAACCGCGAAGTCGTATCACGTGTTTTTCTCGTGACCCGACTTGACGGTTCTATTGACGATGTTGACCTAGGAAAATTGCATGTTGTTTTGTTGATTAAAAACGACACTCTTAAACACATAACATATTTTTTATCATCAAATCAATTTGGGGATTAGGGTTCTAACAAAAGACGAGAAAGAAAATTTCTGTGGAGAAGAATCCGAAATCAATGAGCTTGAGGCAAAATGACGTAAGTTTATATCGATTCTTCACTTCTTCTATCTCGGTTTTGTCTCCTAATTCTTCACTTCTTCTATTTCGTTTTGTCTTTTGGAACTAAAGATTCAACTGTTATTACAGAGAATTGCAGAAAATCGAATTAACGATTCACTTTGGGGGTTCAATAAAGAAGATTGGTGGTGTAGATTATGAGTACTTCGGTGAATTGGGAAGCAAAAATGTGGAATGGGAGATCGATGGGATAGTGTGGGCGTGTTTGTTGAGCACAAATGCTCAGAACACATACCTGGTGTGATTCAGCTTCCAAATGGCATACAAGACGATGTAGAATGTGGGACTAAAGAGGAAGAACACAGTCAGAATGATGAGGCCGATAGACCTAAAGAAGATGACGAGCCAGAAGTATCAGAAGATGAGAATCCAGTTGAAAAGGAAGATAACACAGTTGTGAATCCTTGACAATGAAGCTGTCCCTAATGAAAATCTGAATAACGAAGATGCTGGTGATGAAGTTGTTGTTATGTAATAGATGGTGCTATTGATGTTAGGTTTCAGTCTGTCTTTGTGGAAGGAGAAAACTCTGTTCCAGATAAAGAAGCATATGGAACTGGTATAGAGGAAGAAGAGAGAGATGATGACAGTGAAGATGAGAGGGCGCCAGTAGATGTTGAATATCCAGACACACCAGTAGAGTCTGAAGATGAATGGGAAGAATGGAACCGAGAGCGTAAAGGAAAAGGGAAGGTCAAAGGAAGTGATAAGTACCATGGTGACTATGAAAAACCGCCTTCATTTGGCTATTTCAAAAGTTCAACAATGGCTTAGAGTTTAAAGACCAGCTCTTGAAGTATTCAATGAATACTCAATATGATGTGAAGATGGCAAGGTCAGGATCATTCAGGATTGGAGTGATTTGTTGCAAAGAGAAATGTCATTTCCGAGTTTATTGTTCAGTGGAAAAGCCGATCAACAAGTGGATGGTGAAAGTGTGTCACATGAGACACAACCATGATAAATCAAACATGATCTCAATGTTGACGCAAGGTTTGATCGCTGGCCTTTTTAGAGAAGAATTACGCAGAAATGTTAATCTATCAGCTTCAGCAATCAAAGATGCTATAAAGGTAAGGTTTGGAAATGCTGTACCTATATCTAAGTGCTACAGAGGAAGACACATTGCATTGGGGACAATCCTTGAAGCTCAGACAACACAGTTTGGGAAACTATGGGATTATGAAGAAGAGCTGCGTAGATCAAATGATGGTATAAGCACTGATTTACGCACAAGATAGGTTAATGGTGCTCAAATGTTTGACTTCTTCTACATTTGCTTTAAAGAATTGCGTACTGCTTGGAAGAGTTGTTGTAGACCTGTTATCGGACTTGATGGATGCTTTTTGAAGTGGGATTTAAACGAGGATTTGCTTGCAGCAGTCGGGAGAGATCCTGATAACAGGATGTACCCCATTGCGTGGACAGTTGTAAGAGGAGAAAACAAGAATACTTGGGAATGGTTTGTGAGAAAGCTGAAGGCAGATCTCTGCTTTGGATTTAGGAAGGATCTAACCATAATCTCGGATAAACAAAAAGGACTTGTGCATGCTATCGAGTTAGAACTTTCTGAGGCAGAATATCGCATGTGTGCTAGGCACATTTATGCTAACTGGAAGAAGTTAGGTTTCTCAAGGTCAGAGTTTAAGTCATTGTTTTGAGGAGTCGCATACAGCTACACCGAGGGAGAGTACAAAGAGAAGATGAGTTTGGTAGAGGCATACAATGTCGCGGCACACAGTGAGTTACTCAAAACAGACCTAGAGCGGTGGTGTAGAGAATTCCTCAATTTTGAGTCCCATTGTCCTGACGTGCACAACAATTTATCAGAAAGTTGCAACAGAACCATAAAGATGGCGAGGGCAGAACCATTGACCAACATGTTGGAAGATATACGTAGACAAGCAATGAAAATGATATCTAGACGGTTCTTCATGGCTGATAAGTGGGACACCATTGTAACTCCTATTACAATGGCTTTGCTGGAGAAAGCAAGATGTGCAAGAAAGCATTGTTCAACAATACGCAGTAATTTCAGCTTGTATGAGGTGAATGAGTGTGACAGTGGTTACATGGTGGACTTGGCTACACATCAGTGTGCTTGCAGGTGATGGGATCTTACAGGTATTCCTTGTAAACATGATGTGTGTGTGTTCGATGACAACCAGGAGGATCTTGTGAAGTATACTGCAGAATATTACTACACGTCATGAAAAGAACTTACACGAACAATATCAAACCTGTAAATGGTGAAAAGCTGTGGAAGAGGACAAACAAACCACCAATTGGAATACCAGAGATAAGGAAGCCAAGAGGTAGACCAAGGACTCGAGACAGGAAGAAGAAGCCATTTGAAGCGCTTGAAACTGCTGGAAAAGCATCAAGACATGGACGCATACCCACATGTAGCAATTGTCATCAGTCTGGACACATTAAAAATGGCTGCAAAAACGAAACTGTGGTTTATGAAGGACCAAAAAATAAGCGTGGTCGACCTCGTAAACATTAGAAGAGGTAATTTTTAGAATTATATAGCTATACAATGTCTTTAAATTTATCTATCCCATTTCTTTACGTAGAGAACTTCTAAGCCTCCATCTACAAGAAGAAGAAAAACTCAGCCTGTTCACGCCACTGGATCATCCTCTCAGCATGTTCACGCCACTGTCTCATCCTCTCAGCCTATTCGCACTACTGGATCATCCTCTCAGCTTGTGGAAGCCACTGGATCCTCATCTGACCCCAAGCCTCATGCCAAGAAACCTTCACGAGGACCTTGAAGGTAAGGAAGACAGCCACTACTCCTCATGGTGTTGGGGTTTTATGGAGTCCATTCACAAATCGTCCTTTTCAAGTGTTTGGCGACCGAGTGTATGATAGATCTGACCTTAATCCACAGCCTCCTACACAAGAGTGATCTCATGACTTTGCTTGCCTTTTGTTGTTTCAAAGACTTGTAATTTGTCTTTTTTTCTTGTTTCAAAATGTAATGGAGCTTGGCTTTTGTTGTTTCAAAACGTAATTTGGATTTTAAACTTTCAATATCTATGAAGTTTGTTGTTTGTTGTCTACTATTTTACTGTGATATATAGTTATTAGATCATGAAGCAATCTAAAATAGTCTAAAATATTGATAAGAAAACATGAAAAAACATATATTGGCGTACATAAAACTGAGACAGTCTTAACAACATAAAATAAACTTCCGTAGTCTTACATAAAGCTAAATAGTCCTAACAACATGAAATAAGCTTAAACAGTCTTAACAACAACAACAATAGTCTTCTACCACTTCATGATACCCATGACCACACCAATAACCACAGTGAATCCAATTGACGATGTGATAAGAACATTGCGATATACCATGCTCCTCTCGTTTAGAACCAAGACCTCTTTATTCAGCGCTTCAACCTCTCCTTTAAGCGCTTCACATATGAGGCTTGAATCGTTTGGAGTTTGACCAATGCTTTCATTCTCAAGGCTAAGTGCTTTTACTTGGTTTCTCAGGTTACCAATCTCTTCTTTCTGCTGGCGAATAACATCTCTAGCACCCAACAGTGCAATATGTTGCCATCCGTGTGGCTTCTCAACATCATACTAACAGAAGAAGTTACAAGAATCATATCCATTAGCAACCTTACGTCATTGGCAGCTATAGAACCGCCTTCCAGGGTTGTCACCAGTCCAAGCTTGAACCACCTTTGCTTTACAGTTACAGTTACAAACCACAACCTTTTCGTTTTTGTTGTCAATTGTAGAGGAACTTGAAATTTGAGCCATATGCAAGATATATAACACCAAGTACAAACATGAATCTAACACTAATACCACTAATTATATCTGAAAAAATGATAACCAAAAACGATTTCACACAATTTCGTGATATGAGGAGCAACTTAAGAATTCACGAAATCAAAGCTTTCGAACTTAGATACGACTTATTGTTTTCGAGTTGACAATGAATCGAGGTAGAGAATCGTCTTTCACTCCTTCTAGTTTCGTTAATTTATGAACCCTTAGATCCCCAAATTGATTTAGAAAGAAAAAGACTTATTAAGTTTCATTATGGGTCCCGCTTTTAATCAACAAAACAGCACAGCTTTTTAAAAAGTAAACGTCGTCAACGGAGCCATCAAGTCGGGTCACGAGAAAAACAGGTGATACGACTTTGGGGTTTGTTTTGCTAATTTTTCTAGTTTGAGGTATTAAAGTGCTAGTGAAAAAAATTGGGTGTTTAAACTGTTAGAATGTGTCATCTTCAGGGTTTAAAATGCGATTTTCACTTCTTTTTTTTACAGCAAACGAACATTCTATTATTTAAACTTGAGGTGGTCTGGGTAAACAAACCGGAATAAAACAACCAATAAAAAGTAACTCTCTATGGAAGGATCTAGCAGTCTTAGCTAAAAAATCTGAAATCTGATTTTGCGCACGTGGAATATGAGTGATCTTGAACTCTGGGAAGCATATCTGAAGAGTCTATATCCTCTCTAGTTATGTTGCAAAGTTTGGCTATGCCTGAGGCTCCTTGATCATGGCAATACGTTCTTTGAAATCCTTTCCAAAGCTCTGGCATGTCGAGTGTTGGAGTATATTTTCCATCACCCATCGCAGTGCCGCTACTTCTGAATACAATGCCGATTCACATCAAATGAAATTTCTGATCCCCATAATCTGAACCTTCCCAAGTATATCCATCCAAACCCATCCACTTCCACTTAACTGTGATGTTGATGTCCATGACCCATATATCATGCATATGTTACTCAAACTTATGGTTTGGGGTTCCGCAGTACTCTGATTTTGTCGCATTGGTTTCACCGTCTCGTTTGCATTAAACCAGGCTTGGCATTCACTCTTTGCATAGAGCACTAATTCCAATGGATCTCTATATATTCCCCTGAAGAGTTTGTCATTTCGGCCCTTCCAAATATACCAGATTATCCAGGGATAAAGATCTCTGTCTAGTTCTGGTTCGACGATGTCATTTTTCCTCCAGAAGAGATAATCCATATTAGCATAAATGCTATGAACCGGGAAGATATTCTGATTTGTCGAAGTCGCTGAAAGGGCTCAAACTTGGAGAGCTGGTGGACATTCAAAAATGGCGTGTGTTATAGATTCCTCTGGTTCTCCACATGTTGGAAAATAGTTGTCGCATCTCATATTACGTCTCACTAAGATCGTTGTTACAGCCATGTGACATGTAATCAATTTCCATATAAGATGACATATCTTTTTAGGTGCTTTTATCTTCAGAGCAAAGGCTTGAAGTTTGGTAATACTTGGCTCAAGCACTTCCTTGTTTTCCTCTGCTTTTAGCAAATTCTAAGCTACCTAATATCCAGATTTAACCGTGTATTGGTCGTTTCTAGTATAATTCCAGCTAAAAGTATCGCGGCGGTGAGTTGTGCTTATGGTCAAACTCCTTATGATGGGTATATCATCCGGCCTGACATAGTTCTCCAGTAAGCCAACATCCCACTCTTTAGATACCTGGTCAATAAGATCACTAACTCTCATATTCAGATGCAAAACTGGAGTTAGAGGGATATCCGGCCGAGCTGGTAATGAAGGGATCCACGGATCCTCCCAGACCTTGAATTCATAACCAGAGTGTACCTTGTGTTTAATCCCCAATAGCAATAGCTCTCGCGCAGCAGAAAGGCTAGTCCACACATAAGATAGGCTGCTTATCGAATTTATTCTCAAAGGCGAACTCAGTCTATAGTATATTCCCTTCAATACTCGGGCCACTAATGAATCCGGGTATTAAAATAGCCTCCATAGTCTTTTTGCTAGTAATGTCAGGTTGAATTCATGAATCATACGAAAACAAATTCCACCCTCTTCTCTTGGTAAATAAATATTTTCCCATTTCGCCTAGTGGATTTCTCTTTTCGGTGGGTTTGAACTCCACCAGAATTGAGCAATGGCACTTGCAAAGTTCTCACATATCTCCAGTGGTAGAAGAAAGCTAGACATGACATATGTTGGGAGAGCTAACATGATTTACTTATCAACAGTTCCTTTCCTCCTTCTGAAAGCCATCTGTATGTCCATCCATTCACTCTATGCATTAACGTTTCCTTGAGAAAGGCAAAAAGCTTACACTTAGATTCACTAAAATCTTATGGAATACCTAGGTATGTGCCCATCTCTCCTTCATTCTGGATTCCAAGTGTATCTTTAATCTCTTGTCTGATGGTTTCATTAATCCTCTTACCAAAGAGTAATGAGGATTTCTCAAAGTTAATACATTGGCCTGATGCTTGTCCATATTTCCTAACTACTTTCATCACTTCTTCACATCCACGGGGCTCCACCTTACAGAACAAAAGGCTATCATCAGCAAAGAGAAGGTGAGATACCGAAGGACATGCGCGAGTGATACACATCCCCGTTATCTTCCCTTGGATCTCTGCATGATTGAGAAGGCTAACGAGCGCTTCCGTGCTTAGAATAAAGATGAAAGGAGACGAAGGATCTCCTGGAGGTAGACCTCTTTCTAGAACAATATTTCCCCTTGGTTGCTCATTCATGAGCACTTTGTATTTGACGTAATACACCGCGTTATCCAGGTAATCCATACCTCAGAAAAACCCATTTTTCGCATGACAGCTTCAATAAACGACCATTTCATCATATCATACGCGTTGCTCATATCCATTTTAATGGTCATCATTTTATTGTGTTCGCTTGGTTTAGTTCTTAGGGCGTGGAACATTTCTTCTGCAATCATGATATTCTCTGAAATCTGTCTTCCAGCTACAAAGGCAGACTGGGTTTCTGAAATTATGTCGGGTATAACTTCTTTAACCTCTGGCATAAGACCTTAGAGATTATCTTGTAACTGACATTACACAAGCTAATTGGTCTGAACTAAGACATCTCATTAGGCTTTGTTGTCTTTGGGATGAGGCATAGCCATCGTCTCATCAAATAGGAATTTATTAACCATAAGAGTTAAATCTTCCTTTACAATATCTCAGAATTTTTGGTAAAGAAGAACTGTTATCCCATCTGGTCATGGGGCCTTCTCTAGATGCATGGCAAATATTGCTAATTTAACCTTCAATTCAGTAACCGGAGCTGGGAGATTGGCATTCATAGCCCTAGTAATCATCGTGGATACTTCAGAAAGAGCTTCATCTATATCTTCTGGACTGGAAGACTCAAAAATATGTCTAAAATAGCTAGTAGCAATGGCCACCAACCCTTATGCATCTTCAATAACATTTCCATTTGCATCTAAAAGTTGTGTGATTTTGTTTCTTGCTCTTCTTTTCTTTGTTAGTGCATGGAAGAATTTTGTGGTTCTGTCATCTTCTCTTAGCCAGAAAACTCGACTTTTTTGTTTCCAGGACATTTCTTCTGCCTTAAGAGCATCAGAGAGTTCCTTCAACGCTTCTGAAATTTCCTCGCTTGTAGCATCATCCGCGTACAAACCCTCTACCTTCTCCTTTAGTTCTTCTACTAGTTTTGCTGAGTCTATATTTTGTTGTTTCCTCCACTCACTCAGAGCTCTCCGGCAGCTTGAAATATGTTCCATAATAATTGTGTTAGGAGGAAGATCAGGAGATTTCCATCCATCAAGAATGACTTGACGAAGTTCCTCATTATCCAACCACCTCTTGTCAAACTTGAAATTTTTAGATTTCCTCGTTTGTTTCTTGAGTATATCAGCAAGAATCAAACGATGGTTAGATCCCCATAATCTCATGTACTTTACAGTCGAGTGAGGAAACTTCTCATGCCAATCCGCATTTCCGACTGCTCTGTCTAGTCTGCATCTAACTGGTATCTGCCCTGCTCTCTTCTCTACCTATGATAGCATGTCCACTGTGAATGAAAATTCTAACATCTAACAATCACTTAACATATGTTTAAAAGGTAGAAACGAACTATCAGTACGTTGCTTTCCTCCTTCTATACTCATTGTGACCTGTGATTCATTAAAATCCTCTATCATAAACCAAGGTCCAGTTCTTGTTGTTGAGAAATGCGTAAGACGTTTCCAAACTTGATCTCTTCTTTCTAGTACAGGGTCCCCATAAACAAATGTCATAATCAATGACTGCCTCAATGTCAATCATTCTGTCATTTGAAAATAAAACATTAACTTGAAATTTATCCATAAAAAATAAAGTTAGATCACCGCTGAAACCAAGTGGCTCAACGGTAAACAAACGATCCAATCCTAAGTCGGCCTGAATGTCTTGCAACAGAGGTCTTATGTTCTTCGTTTCAGAAAGGAACACAAATCATGGGCGATGCTTCTGACACATCTCCGTAAGGCGTCGAACTGTGAGGTTATTCCCGATCCCTCGATAGTTCCAACTGATTGTCCTCATTGATGAACATGAGATGGGTTTTTGGGACCCATCAAACCACGTCCCTTCCTTAAGTGTACTCGAGCTTCCTTAGACTTGTGCTGCGACTGTCTTGACTTAGCTTTCTCTCCATGTTGATTGTGCCCATATGACATAACCGATCTTATGCGTGGAGATCCTCGACGGAAGATCACTGGTTTGGTTGATTGGATCCCCAAGGAGGGTTCCTTTTGTTTATGCTCCTTGAATTTTTTGACTCCTTATTTTTTGGTTTTATCTTAGAATATCCAGTAACCATATCCGAGCGTGTCGTATCTTCCAATTCCATTAGTTCTTCATCAAACAAATCATCGTCAGAAGCCAGCATCTCAGCATCATCAGCAGCTTGTTCCTCCATGCCGCTCAAAGCTTCAATAACATGATCACCTCCCATATGGATATCTGAAG